CAAACATGTAAAAACAATATTGAACAGATATCCAAAATTACCTACCTTTTTAGAAATGTAATCTTCTTCAGAAAACAGTCGTTTCAAAATCGTAAAAGTAATCCAAAAAGACATTTACGTATGAATTCTAAATTAGTTTTTAAATCCTTTCTAAATTCAGACTAAACTATAGTCTACCACATATATAAGTGCACTTTTCAATTGCGACATACTCAGTTCATTTGTTTAGAGTGTTTAATTCACACACTATTTTTATTACACTTAGTTTTTAGTGAACTGCAATATAATCCAACTAAATCGAAAGCAGTAGATTTATTTATCCAAATTGAATGCTTTCCTATACACAATGTAGCATGTGATGAAACAAACCGTTTGTACCTGGGTACGCCCGTACTTCACGGGTTAATAATTGACACGAGGTTAAATAAGGTCACGTTTTTCTACCTATTATCGATTGAAAATTTTAATGTTAAAATAGATCGTACAAATAAGTCAACAAAATTAAATTACCCTTTAAACTACACGTACAATGACAAATATTAATTTATGCACACTTAATGTTAATGGTATGAAAAATAAAGAAAAAGGATTAAGAGTTATAGATTGGATTAAACGTAATAAGTGTTCCATTGCCCTTTTACAAGAAACACATCTCAATGAAGAATCAAAGGCTAGTCTTGAAAAGGATACGGATTTTATTTTTTACTGCAGTAATGGAACTACGGCAAGTAGGGGGGTAGCAATCGGTATTAACAAATATGCAGATATTGAGGTCATTAATAAATTCTGTAATAATGACGGAAGACTTATTTTATTAAATGTGAAAATGGACAATATAATTTTGTCTCTAGTTTGTCTTTACGCGCCAAATTACAGAACAGATAGAAATTCTTTCTTCAAGAAAGTAAACAATTTTATAAAAGAAAATTCTATAGGCATTACTCTAGTTGCCGGCGATTTCAATGAAGCGTTAAAGATTTTAGATAGGAAAAGCGTTAATAAAAATACAAAGTTTTCTGAGCCTGTAAATAGTTTAAAAACCTTTATGAAAAATCATAATTTTATAGATATTTGGCGTTTCTTACATGAAAATACACAACAGTTTACATGGCTCCTGGTCTCCAGAAGAAAGGATAAGACACAAGCCAGTAGGATAGACTTTATTTTAATTGGAAAAGAATTTCAATCTCTCGTGGAATATTGTAAAATTAAACCGGCACTAATTAAAGTGACTGACCATCAAGGGATGGTTTTAAACTTTAGGACAGGAGCTTCTGAAAGAGGGAATGGGTACTGGAAATTGAATAATTCTATTTTAAAAGATATTGAATATAAAAAAACAATCAACAGAGTAATTAATAAGTTCGAAAATCGTATAAACAATAGTGATAGTAGCGATATCCGTCTATTATGGGATAATCTAAAAATCGAAATTAGGGACGAATCTATTCTTTACTGTAAAAGAAAATCGAAATTATCAAGGGAGACAACAAGAAAATTAGAAAGAGAATTAGAACACTTTACGACACTTAGAGATGAACAATTAAACGAAGATGAAACAATAACAAATAATATTAAACAATTAGAGTTACAATTGGACAAAATTTATGAAAATAAGGCAAATGGGGCTCAAATAAGATCAAGGGAAAAATGGATAGAACTGGGGGAAAAAATAATTCTTATTTTCTAGGTTTAGAAAAACAGCAACAAGTTAAGAAATCTATTAACAAACTCAGAATTGAAAATAACGAGGTAACAACAAATCAGGAACAAATTCTAGAAATGATAAAAAACTATTATAAAGTATAATATACAACCACGAATCCAGATAAAAATCTACTACATAAATATGTAGGCGATACTGTCATGGAAAAGGAGATAAATGGAGACGACTTTAAAATTTGTGACGGGGAGGTTACTATAGATGAATGTACTAATGCTATTAATAAGATGAAGCTAAATAAATCACCTGGTCTAGATGGTTTAACATTAGAATTTTATAAGACGTTTTGGGAAAAATTAAAAACAATGTTAGTAAAAGTTTTAAATAAAGGACACGAGGAAAAACTTTTATCATATACACAACGAACAGGTGTTCTATCTTTATTATTTAAAAAAAATGACCCATTATCTTTGGACAATTATCGCCCAATATCATTATTAAATGTAGATTTGAAAATATTATCTCATGTTTTGGCACAGAGACTAAAAGAGCTTCTTCCTAAACTAATTAATGAAGATCAAACCGGATATGTAAAAAATCGTTTTATTGGATTCAATTTAAGGCAAATCCAAGATATAATGGACTATGCAGAATCAAACGGAATAGATGGGATATTATATTTGTTGATTTTACAAAAGCTTCCAATTCTTTGGAATGGGAATTCATGTTAAGCGTTTTAAAGCATTTTGGTTTTAATGAATCATTCATATCATGGGTGGAAACACTATATAAGGGAATACAGACGTGTGTGATAAATAATGGATGGGTATCCGAAATTTTTGAAAACTCTAGAGGAATTCGTCAAGGATGTCCTTTATCGGCTTTACTTTTTGTTTTATCAGTCGAAATTATGGCCGAGCGATTAAGGCAAACCTCAGACATTAAAGGTATTCGTATTACTATAGATAATAAAACACACAGCATCAAAATATCACAATTGGCTGATGATACAACACTTTTTTGTAGTTCAAAATCAGATATATCAAAAGCTATGAATATAATTGAAAAATTTGGTTCTTTCTCTGGTCTGAAGTTAAACCGTAATAAAACAGAAGGAATTTGGATTGGGGCGCTTAAAAATAGCATAGATAAAATTGAAGGCATACGCTGGACAGACAAACCCGTTAAAGCTTTAAGTATTATTTTGGTCAAGACAAACACCAATGTGAAAAGATAAATTGGGAACCTAAAATAGAAAACATGAAATCATTAATTAAAACTTGGGAAAAAAGAAAATTAACAATGGTTGGGAAAATATTGATCATAAAATCTTTAATATTACCAAAATTTACATTTTTGGCTACTTCGTGCAAAGTTCCAGATATTTACCTAAAAGAAATTGAAAGCTGCTGTTTCAAATATATTTGGGAGGGAAAAAATGACAAAGTAAAAAGAAACACACTTATCGGAGAATACCAAAAAGGGGGATAAAAAATGATTGATTTTAACAGTTATTTTACAGCACTGAAAGCTTCATGGGTCTCCAAATTAACAACAACCGCACTGCCGAACTGGAAGATTATTCCTACTAAATATTTTAACACTCTTGGTAAAAATTTTCTTGTCTTTAAAATGAATTTAGATAACATAAAATCACCAAATGAACTTGGAAACATACCTGATTTTTATTTACAAGTAATTTCAAGTTGGGTGAAAACAGGAGGAGGTTTAACAAAATTTTCTGATCACTTTTCGGGTATCAGAAAACAGATTATTTGGGGAAATAAATATATTAAAAATCGCAATAAAAGTTTGTTCTTCCCGAACTGGGTTAAAAGTGGATTGGTGTATATTAACGACATACTGGATAGTGAGGGAAAATTATCCGAAAGCTTTATTTTAAAAAAGTTAAAGAATAAATCAAACTGGATTGCAGAGTTTAAGATGTTAAAATCTTGCATTCCAAAAGAATGGCTGCAAGTTTTAAAAAAAGAAAACTCCGTTAAGAGTATCAACATATGTAAGGATAAATTAAGTTGGCAAAATAAACAAATTGAAGAAAAATATATCAACAATAAAATACTTTAGAATACTTTAATAGATAAAAAATATACAAAGCCAATCGGTATTAATATTTGGACAAGATATTTAAAATTAGAATACACACCACATAAGACATTTGTATACGATTTTATATTTAAAATTTTAACAGAAAACAAGTTGAAAATTTTCAGATGGAAACTACTTCAGTATATTATTCCTACAAAGCAGTTACTTTTAAGATGGAAAATATCTGAGAATGATAAATGCAATTTTTGTAAAACAGAAGAAGAAGATTACTTGCATTTCTTTATTACATGTTCATTTTTGAAAGATTTTTGGGAGAAGGTACATTATCTTCTAGCAAAAATGAATTTTCATAACAAGGTATTAGCAAAACATATAGTATTTGGATACAAAATATCAGACCAGGGGTATTATGGTTTTAACTATTTTTTGACGGTTCTAGGTTTTTGTATTTACAAGTCATATTATGTCTCCGAGCAAAAACTTAAATTTTTAGATGTGTATAATATGTTTATAAAAGAAATACTAAGGGTTATGAATGAGAACAAAACAGTATCTCAAAATGTATTTTTCATTAATTTAAAAAGATTGATATAATAGAAAAAAAACATTTATATTTTATTATATTCTGAGTATTGTCCTGGATACTCAGAAAGTATTTCACAGGGATACTTTATTGGAGCTTGGACAGTGAAGTGAAATTGTAACAAGCATTCTGAAGAATAAAGAATATTTATTTGTTGTTAAAAAAAAAAGAAATGTTAAAAATAGGGGTACAGCAGTCAACATTGTGTTATAATCTTAATCACTATAACAACAAACAAATATGTCAACAAAGAGAAACAAAATGGCATATAGACAAAGCACATAAGCAAAAATGAAAGACAAGAATACAAAAAATTACCATAGCACAATAACACAATGGCGGGATGTATAAGTACCGAGCCACGCCTAAGGGATATAGCAAAAAATGGACTAAACAATAAATTATAATAACTATTGTAAGAGTATTTTTTTTCAAAATTCTTGGTAAAATTAAAATAAAGGTAGGAATTCATTTTCTAAAACTCGACTAGCATTTACTTTGTATGCTATTACTATTACTAGTTAACATTATTGCTGAAAACAAAACAGTTTTGACTTATTACAATATTTTTTTCTCATTGGCTGGATTGATTATACAGAATATTAATTTCTGGATAAAAAAGTTACAAACTGAAATTCATGTGTTAAAATTCATTAGCTTCTAGATAATATTTTTTTTATTCAGGACTGATGTTCGTCCCTTCTGGCTTGGTTTACAGTTTGAGGACAGTTTAGGAGATTCTATTTGGCTAGAGGATGGTTCGACTGTTACCTTCAACAAATGGGTTTCAGGTGAATAAATCTTTCAAAACTTACATCGATTTGCAAGAATATAAAATTATTTATATTGAATAAATATAGTGAATCATATATCAAAACTAATGACATTCATTCATGTTAAATATTAAGTTTATTAAGAAATGAAATCATATCACTTGTCAGGATAAACCTTTTCGTGTGCGAACAATATTCAGTTGTATAATACGCAATGGGTATGATAAATTTTAATTGAAACTGCTCAATAAATTTATTTATTATATAATTTTTTTTGTAGGAAACAACAAAGGTTGCGGATATGTGGATAAAACCGGGAATTGGAAGGGGATTTCTTGTAACAGTGTCCAATATCTCTCTGTCATCTGTAAAATGTCTCCATCAGGTTTGACATACAATATTTGATGAATTTATTATAGAATATAAAGCAATATTCGATATGATATCTTACTTGAGGGATTTTCAGATGTGCAAAAAGTTTAACGAATGTACATTCATTTAGATATTTAAATTGGTAGTATACGTTTATATTCAATTATACTACTTTTATAAAAATACTTACAACGTCTCCATCTTCAGTTTATGACCTAAACTTTTTCTCCATTTAGCAAAGAATTTGTTAGCACAAAATTCAAATTAAAATGTAAGATGGCTCTGTATTTTAAGTGGAAAAGAAATAAATGACGAAATGAAGGAGATACCAGCGATGGCCTAATTATCTCAAATCAACAAGGAAGGACAATTTAATTAGCAGTTTAAAACTTCTCTTAACTATTAACTATATTTCAACATACTTTATTGTGAGGAATCTTACAAAATCTTTTAAAACGTAGGAACTCTAATAAATAAAATAAACACTTCCTTTCAACTTTCCTTACCGCTCCTCAAAAGAATTGAGATTTCGTCGGAATATATGTGACTCTATAAATAACTTCATCACTATTTCTAATGTATAGATAGAAAAGTATGTAATGACGCTAGGGATGACTGTGAGGAATTCATCAAAGAAGATCCTCGAGCATGTGGAGCACATCAAGACTTTGCATGGCACGTCTGTCCAAAATCGTGTAATGTCTGTAATGACGGATCAGGTAACATCACTTTATATATATCATTTAACACTTATTTGATTTAAAACAGGTCAACTCGCTCATTATATAAAACATGTCAGCCGTAAAAAATGTGCAAAAGAATATTTCATAATTACCTTATATCCTATTATTATATGCCAAACCACATTATGAACAATAAGTTTAGCAAGAAAGTAACACTTGTAGGTGTCATACTCAATGGCCAAAGACAAATTGAAGGGTATGTCTTGTAATAATTTCAAACCATTTAGACATTGCATGTTGTCTATCACATAATTATAAGGAATTTCTAGATCTGTTTTTCTATTATTCATTGCTAATTGCTTAATTATAAGGCAAAACACCACGTAAATAAAACCTAATAGCACGGTTTAACTTGTTTGTAATAAAACACCAAACTTAGTATTCGATCGAATAGTAAGCTGAACATAAATATGAAGAATATGAAGAAATTATAATGCCATTATCTACTTAATAAAAAGACATTCCATTATCTATTTCCCAGTGTGATGGCATACGATTTATAAAAAGAATAATAGAATATATGGTAAATATACTATTAGACGTGTTTGGAAAGTCAATACGATTTTGACGCTGATGTTAAATACCAATACCACTACAGACTATAGTGGGGACCATCTCAAAAAGTACAGCTAATCATTCATTAATTAAAGTTACCTGCATGAGTTTGTTTGATAATACTGAAATGATTTTTAAACAATTAAATAATAACAATTTATTTTGCAATACAGCAAAACAACACGACCATTATTAATATTATCATCATAAACTGCATTGTTACATAGTAGTGATCGATTCGGTTTAAGATCGTTGTTTCCCAATTTCTTACTATTTTGGTGAACGACTACAAGGAAAATCTGCAAAGTGATCAAAATAAATGAATAAAAAAAAACACTGCAATCAAATCACATCCGAATCAGATTTTTTACTTTACATCAATCTTTGTTCAAAATGTTCGTTCATTTGAAATTTATTTAAAATATACTTTTCATGCCGGGGCCTTTCATAGCATTTACGCGGGATGGGTTTTGTTCCTTGTTGGGGACTATACGGTGACCTATAATTGTAAACATTTACGTCATTTATTCTCTGGCAGAGAGTTGTCTACTTTGTCAATCATACCAAATTTCCTTATTTTATATCATTTTCTAGAATAGAGAATGTTTAGCTTAAAATTCAAATAAAAAAAATTAAAAAAAAATAAAAGAATGAAACAGAAGAGTATTCTATTTCATTATCTTTATCTTTTTATTTTATCTAGAAAGGTCATTCTTGAAATTTAATGTATTGTTAAAATGGGACAATACCTAAAAAAAATTAACTGACATTTTCTTTCTATCAACTTTTGTCAATTAGTGAAAAAGGTTATCGAATTAAGCTTGAAAAGATTACCACATTTGGGCATTATTCAAGCATGTTAAATTAACGTTTTACTGAAGGTTCGGAAGTTTTTTTCTTCGTTGTATCACGGCTTTCACTACCAACACAACAGAACACCACGATTGAATTGAGATACTGTTGAAAGTGGCGTTAAACTTTCATATGGAGAAGTAAATTTTATCATCTTTGTGTCAGGAGGATATATTGAGAATGGAATATTCATTTTCACCTTTTGCAAATCCTGCTAATTTATATATCGGGTAATTGTTTTCCGATTTATTCATTTTGTTTTGCCTAATATTCACTATACACTCCGCTTTCTAAATTGGACAGTATATAGTGATGGTCGGATGGGTTCCTTCGTCCGTTCTTTCGTCTGTCTGTCCATTCATTGCATTCATACCCAGATAGTTCTAGACAATACAAATCACATACGGCTCATGAAAAATGGTTTTCTTGAACATTAAAACGATGCGCAGCAAGACAACCTTCTTCCAAGAATTGGCACCAACTTGGAATTGGATTTTCCTCCAAACTGTGTTAATTTTTGTGATAAGATTTATGTGAACCTTCCACCAATTGTTACGCCATAAAGAAGGCAACAAGTAAGACAAAACCGAAAAGGAAAAAAATAAAATGCAAAAAACTAAATAGAAGAATTTCAGAATGTCAAGTTAATGTCGAACACGCTATCAGACGTTTAAAACATTTAGGGTTGTCGGTACTTTGTGGAGACATCCACAACACGAATCAAATCAAAATTGCAAAACAGTTCCATTCAGATCATAACATTTGCAAAACATACTTTTCTGTTCCATGATAAGATAGTGAATTGTCATGGGTAATTTTTCTCTTACAAAAGCTTCACATTGATAAATGATTTTTGATTGCCTAAATTCCAGTGGTAAATATTTTGCATTATCCACATCTCGTGTATTGTCAGGACTAATGAATATGATTTGGTTTATACGTGAACCATAGAGATACGAACACCACAAAAATAAACAACATTCTATACAGATAAATATACGGTTTTCAACCATTTGAAGGTGTTAAAAATACAAAGAAAGAATTGAACAACACGAACCAAACCAAAAGACGGTGAGAAATCAGGTCTTCCAGATTTATAAGTAGATCCTGCTGATAGTTCGAGGCAAGTTGCTCACGTGAAAGTCGCGTAATATCACAATAAAGAAAAAGAGGAAGGGAATGTGGTTACTTTTTAGGTTTCATTTGTTCATATATCTCTTCACGTATTTCAGGTATTTATTCGTCTATGATTTTCAAATGTTTTTGTTAATGTGTTTGTCATTTCGTTGATTTTTGTTTTGCTATAGTGTTGAATGTTTTTATTAGACAAATGATTTTCGATTGCCTCCTTGGTATTTTTTCCCTTCTTTTATAAGAAGTCTTATGCAGGCAAAACATGATTCTGATTGACTAAAGTATACCCCTTTTTTCCACCAAAAATTAAATAATAGAATAAACCCCTATTCAAAATTCAAAATTGTGTTCTGGACTTGTGGAGAGGCAAACTGAGTTATTTGACTATTAAACATATTCTACTCATATCATTTAATATATATATTTGAACTTGTGGTCGTAAAATCGTCATTCCCATTCTTGACCCTTACATATATTTTTTTAAGTTTTGTTTTGCACTCCTAAATCAAACAAATGCAAATAAATGTATTAAGATCTACGTAAGGCCAATGCACGTCTTAAAATTTGGAGTCGACGTTAACCGTTTGCTTCAAATTGTATCAAACCCATCGCAAAGCTAAACTATACTGCGCCGGGATACTTTTCAATTCAATTGCATTTTGAGAAAGTCCACACTTAAATCTTGTATCGGTTTTGGTATTTAACATCAGCGCAGTATTTAAATCCCTTTCCTAACACGTCTATAATCAACCACATATGACACGCACTTGTTACAAAAAGCAAATCAATTGATCTTCGTTTTACCTATAAGACATACCATTAAATCTCTGTGTTTTGTTATACCGCAATTCCTATACTGTTTTGAAAACTCACATCTGAAATGACCTATTATTTTCTGACCAAGGAAAATTGTATTATAAGTTGAATGATTATGTTGAAAAAGGATCTTTCAATTTTACCTAGTCGTGACATGTCCTCTGCCACCCATACCAAAGAACGTGGAACTGTTGAATAAGATTAAGGACCTCCGCCCTGGTACGATGATAGAATATAAATGTAAAGACGGATTCATTCTTGCCAATGGAAATCTAAGACGGGCCTGCTTAGTTAATAAAGATTTCACAGGAAATGAACCTGTTTGTGTAGGTATGAGGTCTCATTTTTTATTTCTCAGCTTAAATTTTGGTATTATCTGTACTGAAAAGATATTTTCTCGTGAAAGTATATGTTTCTTTTTTTTTTTATTATAATCATCTAAAGAACATGCCTTTTCCTTTTGGTTTAACATTCTTTTATCTTTAATACTTCATCTTTAAATTTTACGTTGAATGAATAGAATGATTTTCAGAAATGGTACACACCATTGGTAAACCTATTTCAAGCCTTTACTCTCTCAAAATTCATTATACTGATATGATTAAAGTAGCCAAACTATTATATCCTGATTTACGGAATTTTTAATCCATGTGAACAGAATTGCTTGAAGTTTAAACCTGGCTTTCATATATTTCAGCTATTCTGTTATTTACCTTATGTGTTATAAATACAATTATCACTTATCTATATTACTTTCTTAGTTTCAAGTTTGTAAGTATGAAACTTAATATATAAACATATATTATGGATAGATGTAGACGAGGTCACATCTCGGGAGCATTATCATAGAATTCATATGCAAGTCAGAGCGAATATAGAAGTAAGAAGATGTGATATGATTGCTCTCCACCAGAGACAAATGACATAGAAGTTAACAACTATAGGTCACCGTACGGCCTCCAACAATGAAAAAAACCCATATCGCAGTCAGCGATAAAAGGCCCCGAAATGACAAATGGTAAACAATTCAAACGAGAAATAGCATATGCATTAATTCAAAAGATATGTTTTTCCTACTTATAAAGACAAATTCATTACGTTAAATTTTGTGATAATATTTATACCAGATGAAGACTTGGTACCATCACCAAACAACAGAATCGAGTTACGTCAGAGATCTGTAGATGGTAAGGCCGGGATGGCATATACTGCAGATAATGACGCATTAAGAATTCAAAGATCTGGAAAGTTAGTAACATGGGAATTCTATAGTATTTATGATGGTGAAGTAGCTTTTCAAGTATGGCGACCTACCAGTAAACGTGATAAGTAAGTGGATTTACAGGATTTTAAAGTTTTTTATGGTTATATTACACAACATGTCAGTGTTACATGGATATCTACCTACCTACCTACATCTATTTATCGATCGAAACTTCTAATATAGAAACGGAGGGTATTTCGAGCATTCAATTCGCCCTTCTGAATTAACCTGCATTTGAAAGCCGGGGATGTTAAAATACTCGAAGAGTAATATTATCAAAAGGGATCTATACTGAAGAGCCAAAACCTTAGGTCAACTTTGCCTGAAGGAGGTTTAATCTTAGTTTATTAATAATTCTTATATTGACAATTTAAAATTACATGTTCTAAATCATTTAAAATTTCTAAATTTATCCAACTTTTTTATAAAATATAATATGTTATGAATTATGTTAATGGCGAATCATAGACTACTGGGCATATACTAACCTTGGGGACGAACAGTTCACTTACAGATCTATCCATCAAGTGCTAGACAATAAGAATTACTTACATCTTAAGCCCGGATTTTAGAAATACTTGAGGAGCTATATGACTGAAAGGATGAATTGAGTTTCTATAAGCAGGCAAGGTCTCCTTAATGAACATGGAGAAATTGCAGTTATCAGTTGGTGTTCAGTATTTTTGTTATTCTTTTTTGAATGTATTATAATGTCCTACCCTCTTTTGTTTTTGTATCTTTGTAGAACTTTAAATTCTTAGAGCAACAATTACGTCAGTAAATGAAAGTAGTATACATGTATTCTAAAAAAAAATGCTTTAAGTTTAATACATTCATTAGATGTCAATTGAATAGTGATTCTTCGGTGTTGATACATTTCTTGTTAACATAGATTAGGATTTGGCAGTTTAATCTCCTGTTTAAATTTCCTGAATTTGCGTTAAGAAATGAACGTATTGTACCTAAATTTGAAAAATTCTACCCAAGTGAATATACTAGAAAACGATATAACAGTTCAAACATTGATCTTCGGTTATATTCAGGATGAGATGGGTCCTTTCTCAATCCCAAAACATTTTGAATATATAAAATGTTCGAATTGTCCATATTATATTAATACAAAAGATCTGTTCATAGAGAAAACTACTTTAACGAATCTTGACAAGTAAATAATTGGAATAAATCTAAACAGTTTAGTAAATAATATTTATATCGTCTAAAAATGTGTTTCCAAATATCAATATATGAACATAACGAACCAATAAGTCTAGCAGTCACTTTGCAGAAATGTTAAAAACGACGATATTTAATATTATAACTACACTAGAGACAATGAACAAGGTGGTAGAGGACATATTTACTTCCGGAAAATTTGACAATAAAAAGTATTTCATACTGCAAACAGGGATTGAGAACAAAGATAAATGAAAGTTGAGAAAAAGCAGTTTGCCTATTTCAAATCTCGTAAAGGCTTTTTGTTAATAAAAATTAGGACAGAAAAACCAAAAACAAACTGAGATAAACTTCCATTTTCAATTTTATTATTAGATATTCGCTTGAACTTCAAATGGAGTGACATCTAGGTAAGCGTATCTTGCTATGCATGCATTATCCGACATGCGAATCCACAATCAGCCAAAAGTCACAACAGGTAATATGTCACATTCGTGTAATTTACAAAAATATTGATAGGTATGGAATTTCTTTTTGAGATATTTAATTTTTTTTAAATGGCGGGACTTTTACCTTATATTTAGCATTTGCATTATTTGGGTCTCAAATCGTAAGAAAAGAAATCTAGAATCTGCTTAAATTTTTAGTACTGACCTTTTTATGAGCTATTGAAGTCTTCTATGCAAAGAAAAGTGGATGATATTGGACAAAATATTTTAACTTGTATCGTAGGAAAAACCCAAGAAGTCCGAACATATGACAAAAATTCCTATGTTTGAACTGACTACATCCTTAAGACACAAAGACATCGTATCGGTCAGCCAATTCCCGATGGTAATGGGATGTATATTCGTCAGCCTTACTTATCCGTTTCAGTAACTATAAGTCTCTAATAAATTTTGATTGTTCTGGACACTAAGAAAACATAAGTGAAAACATATAAATAGCTGTATAAAGTTCCTGATAAAGCCAATACAATGAAGTTCGTAAAGTACGAAGTAGGTTTTCTGTAAGATTCAGACAAGACTAGCTAATGTACAGTAGTAAATTAGTTTTAGTCTGAAACGGTTATTTTGATCTTAACATCATCTCAAAACTCTGAACTTTTAATTAATTAGTCATGTTCAGTACTTCAGCTATTCAGTTGTTTACAGTTTGAGTATTTCTTTAATGTTATTCCGTTGGAAATGTCATGTTTTGTTTTTCATATATCCCTGCAACAGTGTCATTTAGGAGTACTTTTGGCAGGGTTTTGAATTATTTTAATTTAAATCACTTATTAGTTGAGATTTAATGTTTCCTCTACAATCGTGATTTGATTCTATCCCCAAGAATCAAAAGCATAAAGGAGGTAATAATTCATCCAAAAACTTTATGTGGCATGTAAAATTCAAAATGATAATTTTGAATTATACCTTGCAGTATGTGTGGTTTTTTTTAAATCTATTGGAAAGATTGAGCATGAAAAGAAACTGGTCTTGTCTGAAAAGCTACTAGACAGTACTGAATTGGCCAGAAGCGAATTGTCTTGACAGTTCTGGATTTACTGCAGTGGATAAAAAACTGGCCATAACTCTAGCTTCAGTGTAACCATATTGATCTAAAAAATCTGCATGAAATGTAAATTAATCAAGAAAAAAACTGATGACAGAATACCACTTTGGTAAAAACCTCAGTAACAGTTACAATTGAACAGCTTAAGTGATGAGACAGCAGCAAGGTAGACTCAAAATGTATGAGTGATCACCCATTTATCAACTCTTACAATACCAACTGGTCAATTTAAATGTGTCATTGAACAAAAGGTATAGATAAAGGACAAAACCTATAGTCAAGGCACAGTAATAATTTATTGTATAATATTTTCAGAACTGTTTAGATTTAAATAACCGTTTCAGATTTTTACTAGTGATATCATTTAATAGTTTATATTTTTAGATTTAGACTGTTATGATATTTTTACTCATTTTCATCGATAAATGGTTATACACTAAAAGGTTGCCAATAATAAAACTAATAAAAGAATAATGGGAGAGGTAATAAATAGGTAAATACAAATATAAGAAAATAAAAAATTAAAATGGAATGATTTTGGAGGAACCAAAATTAACTCTGTCTCTACCCGAAGTTGGCATCGTCTTTAAGTTTAAACCATACTATAGCCAATGCAATCAAATGCATTTTCAAATGCGGTTTTATTGAATTCATACATTTGTTTGCATTTTCGTCTTTTTTAGCAATGGGTGTGTCTGCTTTCAACTTTTGTAGTCACATTTTGTTACTCTCACGTTACAGCTGTTTATTTATTGTGCTTTGAGTTTACATCTTATTCTGTTTAAGGTATGAATTGATTGGACAAAATATCATAGCCAGTACAGGGAACCATCGTTCGAGATCAGTAGATGTTCCATTTGAGGAGCAAGTTGCTGTAAAGAAAGGTGATATGGTAGGATTCTTCCTGCCAAAAGATAACAAAGGAGGTATAACGTTTGACAAATGTATAACAAGGTACACATTTGGTGATTTTGGAAGGCAAAAGGAAATCAAAACTAAAATTAGGAAGTCTTCTGAATGGAATGTTGGTGAAGTGTATACTGTGAGAAATGACAAGGACAAAGATTGTAAAATTATTTCACTTCGAGCTTATGTCTTGTAGATCTATGAATATTATGTTTTGTACATGAATAAATTATATTAATTTCATTAAATCATTGAAGCATCTAACGTGGTTATTCCATTGACGATAATTGAGAGGGTTAAAACAAACTAGTATAACCCGCCTCGTGATAATATGTCTGTTCAAATTCAGCAACCTTGTCGTTTGTTATATCGTAATGTGTTTTTTCTTTTAAAAAATTGGCGTCAATTACAAACTGTTAAAAAGTCTCTGTTAAATGTATTTATACATTGTATACACGGGATCATCAGGAGGGTAAATGCAAGTTATGTTTATCATCGTGAAAGGTAGAGAAAATCCCCTCGATTTTCATTTTTATTCATTTTAAAGTTTTTGGCAGAAATTATAGTAAATAGAGAGAAATAAACCAGAAATTAACCAAAAAAAAAAAAATAAAAGAGCAACAGAAAAAGAGATTTTAGTCATGAATTATATTATGGTCTACAATGTTGGTACAGGCATGTGAGCGATACAGGCTATTTAGAGCCTCTAGTTTATTCCACGATGATGAGACCTAAAACATAGTAAATTCTTGTAAAACCATAGAATTAAATAGCTGCTCTTTGAGTGAAAATATTATAATAGCGTCAACAGATAAACCATTTATTTTCGTCTTTTTTTCATACTCGAAATTACATGTTCTTGAAGTAAAACAATAACATTTAAGTATAACTTGCACTATTTGGACGTTCAATTTTACAAACCAAGACATTCTGTTCGTCACGAGATTTCGGCATATTGAAAAACAGTTTCGTTTCTGTTCTCGGGTCGATTGTAGCATCAAAATATGTTGCTTAGACATTTGTGTTTTTTTAGACAAAACGCGCGTCTGGCGTATACATTCCTGGTATCTATGATGAGTTTATTTTCAAGACCGTTTGTTCATTTTCAGACGTTTTCGATTGTTTTTGTGTCGTTCAAAAGCGTAGTTTATACAACAATTTATTACAACACGACGGGTGCCACATGTGAAGCAGGATCTGCTCACCCTTCCAGAGCACCTGAGATCACCCCAGTGTTTAGTGGGGTTCGTGTTGCTCATTCTTTAGTTTTCTATGTTGTGTTTTGTGTACTATTGTTTATAGATATAAGAAGATGTGGTATGTGTGCCAATGAGACAACTCTCCATCCAAGTCACAATTTATAAAAGTAAACCATTATAGGTCAAAGTACGGTCTTTAACACGGAGCCTTGGCTCACACCGCACAGCAAGCTATAAAGGGCCCCAAAAATAACTAGTGTAAAACCATTCAAACGGGAAAACCAACGGTCTAATCTATATAAAAAAAAACAAGAAACGAGAAACACTTATGAACCACATCAACAAACGACAACTACTGAACCTCAGATTCCTGACTTAAGAAAAACAGGTGCAAACAATTTGTCTGTTTTTCTGTTGGTCTTTTTTTTTTTAGCCATGGCGTTGTCAGTTTATTTTGGACTTATGAGTTTGAATGTCCCTCTGGTATCTTTCGCCCCTCTCTTATACCCACATCTCTTTTGATACGTTTAAATCAAGTTGGAACAATTTATTTATGTCCTGAAAAGTGTCAGATAAGCATTTGAATGCATCTGCTATTATATTCTAGCTTATATCTAGACAAGAGTAAGGGAAACTTTTGATCCTCATGTTAGTATACCGGACAATCAATTTCTATGTGCATTTAGTACCATTAATATTGTTGACCTCAATTAGTTGCAAAACATAGAACTAAATCGATATGTGATACAAATGAGTTAATTGCTAAGCTTAACACGCAAACAGATTAACATATCAATTATTTATGACAAAATCCAAAAGAAACGACAGTCTAATGTAAATTGACTACAATGAAAAAAGACAAATGTAAAGAAGTACACAAGACAAAGACTAGAAATGAGATGTAGCACAGTGTAGGTCTTCTGCAATTAGCAAAACCAATAACGTGTATTAAGCTATGATGACCCTATTAGACCAAATGTGAAACATTTCGAAAGGAAAAAAACCAAACAGCCTGGTTTATGTTCAAAGCAACAAACAAAAGAACAAATAAGGCATATAGCAACCAACGACAACATCTGAAATACAGGCTACTGAATTTTGACAGGTGCACACATTACGCGGCGATGTTAAATATTTTTTTTATCACACAACCCTTTCCCTAACCTGTGACAGTGGTGTAACAGCACAACATAGGAACAAACTATGAAAATCCGTTGGAACGGCTTATGCCATTTATTTTTGCTGTACCATGATTCCCTTTATATAAATCGAAGAATGAATACAAAACTCGGCAACTTTCAATGTTTGCTAAGAGAAGATAGAAAATCTTACCAAATAAATAAAAAAAGAATGTAGTAATATTTATTAACAAAACTTATTCAACAGAAAACTTATTCGATTTTTTTTTATGAATCAACATTTTGGTACTGGACAATAGTCCCAAGTTACATCAGGATCCGTAGTATAACACCAAGGAGCTCCTGTATTGTCTGGATCTCTACAGTAGTTTGTATCCCTATCAGAACCTGATGGCACTTGCCCACTATGACTGGACCAGACTTTGCATGGAATACCGGCAGCCGTACAGGTCACTTTTCCTTGATATTCAGTACTGTCAGTATAACAATCTTCGTCTGTCATAAAAAAAGAAAGGTCATCGTTTGGTTTTTAGTACAAAATTTAACTAGACACATGTTATATATTAACCATAAAAGATTCAATGTTGCAATTGTAATATTCTGATTTAAAAATAAAATTGTTTATTTAAAAGCATGAGTCTGTTTTCTGTTATCCCTTACACCTCCTTTCACTTTCTACAATTGGTGAATACAAAACCAGATAACACCGAGCGTCACTAGTAGTCTTATGTGTAAATTATATTGTCATTAAATACGTATAAAAAAAAGCAAACACGCCTGTCAACTTGCGATTACCCCTTAACCTTGAAATGTCTGCTTAATAAAAAGTCAGACTTGGGTATCAACAGTATATAAATACTGCGAAATAAAAACAAAAAACAACACGAGATTTTACCGGGATTTCTTTCTCTCCAAAAACCAAAATGTAAAGTACATATTAAAGTCATGTTTTAATATTAAAAAAAATATGAACTTATTTATTCCATCTCATCAACATTTCAAATGTACAAATAAAAATTCAGGCATGCATAAATTGGTTTTATAAAACTAACGAAACTCAGTAAGATGAAGCGAGAACAATACAAACGTAACTCTTATGATATAGGTAGACATAATTGTTTTTGGCGTCCTTAACCAAACGTATTTAAATTTATTTCAATACCACAATCCTACATTTTTAAAATATTATCTGTTACCATATGTTATTTGAAATATGCATGCAAATACGCGCATATTGTTTTGTTTTAATTATTTATTGAGACAATTGCATAAGAAACTTGTTATATATCTCCCAGTTGATACGATATTTCAGAGCTTGTATTTTCTATCATGATTTCCTTGTTAGAGGGATGCTGCTTACAAGGAAGGTTTTAATCCAAGAGTTCAAAATGGTGATGTTGAAATCATCTCTTCAAACTTTTTACGAACGCCATCACGAGTTGGATGACCGTTATGGAATATCTGTTTCACAGATGACGACAGATATATTCCAATTGTCGTAACGACAATCCCGTTCTCTTTTCCGCGAATGTGACCTTCCGATGTAGACTTATCACCGGGTTAGTACTTACATACCCCGGTACACAACACGGCGTGTGCCACATGTGGAGCAGGATCAGCTTACCCTTCAAGAGACATGAGATCAACCCCAGTTTTGATGGGGTTCGGTTTGCTCAGTCTTAAGTTTTCTATGTGGTGTTCATATTGATAAACAAAATTGGAAAACATCATAAACACATAAAATTTAAAGCCCCTCCAAAGACAACTTTTGTGATACGATTTAATTATGATCAGCTGTGTTAATCAGATGTTGATTCTTGAAAATTCTAAAAGATCTACTTGTCAATCTGCAATCATAATCTAAATAATTTTGCAGTAATTTCAATCTTTTTAAATTTGTCTACGCTTTACACTAATATTTCCTATGCTCAATTAAAAGATCGACTGCACTAAACAGAGCGTCTTTTTTTACAAAAAGGGAAAAGTAGATACAAATTCCTTGTTTAAGGTCATAACAGTTCTTACTTTGTTAAGAACCACATTTATTCCAACAACAAATCCACCAAAGATGATAATATCAAAATGCTGGACATTTTGATCGACTACATATTTGCTTAGTTCGGTGGATTGGTATTTTAACAGACAGTCGTCGATATATCAATGGGTATAATTCAAACTAGAATCTATGACAAACGTGTTGATTTCAAATTTTCAATTATCAACTTTCCATTTCTAAACAGTAACAAACACACTGCCCATTTGTATGATGGCGTTTACATATCTTCATTAATACATTTCACTCGTGCATGATCACACTATACAGACTTAATTAACAGGGGTGTGCTCCTTACACAAAAAATTGCTTCAACAGAGTTATGAGGAAGAACGACTGAAATTGACACAACATAAGATTTACGGTCATTATCACTCATTGGTTGACCAATAAGATATGTCGGTGTCTCAACTCACTGGTGACATCTTAGATCTTAGATCTTAAGGTACTAGTATGGTCGTCTGATCTGTAATTTTACTGGTTGTTACCTTTTCTCCGAATTAAGACATTTTGACTTAGTGTTGATTCGGATGACATGTATTCATAGCAGGAGACGCTTGCCTTGTCGACGCACCCAGTTTCGCTCCATTTGGAGCTCATGCGATTTCCTCAGTTTTCGTTCGTTACCTTGATCGATTTATGAGATTTGAACATTGGTAAAGTGCTGTTGTCTTTATATGAAACAATCATTGCTAGAATAAAATGTAACAATTGGTGCTAAAACAAATCTGAAATAAACTTTTCAATATATATTGTTAATTATATAACATGTTCCAACGTAATATGTAAGCGTTAAGTAAGATAT